GTTCTGTTTTTGGGTGATGTCTGAAACACTGATGGACCAGGAGTGGAGTTTGTCATCTGAAGACTAAACCCAGTTTCTTCTCTCCTGCCAGGCTGTTGAACATTGCAAACGTCACGTATGGAACTAGAAGGAACATTGCATCTTGCAGAAACTGCATCTTTTCCTACTTGTGTGTCTGGGGGAGTGAATGCACAGATCTACTTGACTTTGTTATGAAAATAGGACCCCCCCCGCCCCGCCTCCCCATCTCTACCCCCTCATTGTAGCATTGCTGTCCGTGTGGGAGGCAGCCCCTGCTGACATAGCTGCTTCAGTGTCCCTTTTCTCTTTGCTCGGCGGATGACGACCTGATGTGCACTGGAGGTCTTGCATGGCACCTCCTGGAGGAGGAGAAGGGGCTCTTGATGCTGGCGTGAGTTTCTTGGCAGGAGGCCGTCATCCTCTCGGCTGGAGTCTTGTTCTGAGGCTGCCTCCTACCCTAAGGAAGGACCCTCTCCCCTTCCTGTGCCTGTCGGCTGCTGTACAAAGCAGCAAAACAAAGGCAGTTTCATAGGAAAGACTAGATGCTCAGAATCAGGCTTTTTAAATAATATAATTCCCACTGTAATAGCACAGATTTTGGAAGCAGCTGCTGGTGGCTCAGGGGACATTGGTGGGACAGAGGGTTTGCTGTCCCTGGGTCAACCCTTGATTCAGCTTTCCAGTGTCTTTCCTGGTGATGCCTTGTCTTGGTTCTGTGGGTTTGGGTGGGAAGGGGGACATCTGCCTGAATGTAACCTGCTAGCTTTCCAGGGAGTCCCGTGGGCCTGGCTCGTGTGTGTGAACGTGTAAGCAGTGGTGGCTGCCTTGTGCCCGCTCGTGTCCACCTGGCTGCTGAGGCCCTGCTTCAGCTCTGTACCCCTCCCCCATCTTATAGATGCTCTTTGGACCTTTCATTTCAAATAAATGTAGATGACAAGCTCCTAAGCCTCTGGCTTCCTGGTAGAGGGCAACAGGCTGAGGGGTCTGCAGGTGTGGGGGTGGATACTGTCTGGGGTCTTGGCTGCTATACTTTTCGCTTCCGAAGCTTCTTTTCCACTTCTGGTTGCCGAGAGACCAGCAAAGCCAGCAAGACATGCAGTTGCTATTAAATGGACTTGATTTTTGTTTGTTTTGCACTGAAGTTTCTCTGATTTAACAATAAAGTTCTGTTAACCAGATCTGGGCCTGAGTTTCTGTGACACTCAGCCAGGAGAGTTTGGGCTCTGAGCCCACAGCCCCTTCAGTCCTTAGCAGCCCTATGACTCCTCTTGGCCAGAGAAAGAAAGCAAAGTAGGTAAAGAAAAAATCCTGCCTGGGCCCCCAAGAGACCAGGCCAGCAGTGGGGCACCTGAAGGTCAGGCCCCGTCACCCCCTCCAAACCCTGCCCATCATCCCCACAGGCCAGCCACGCAGGTAGTTTACCAGAGCCAGAGTGTATTGCCGGTTCCTTGTGAGTTGCTTCTCTTTTGAAACAGACCGTTCCAGAAACTTCCAGTGAGTACCAGTTAAACAAATCCAAGGGGAAAATATTGAGGGAATAATTTTAAAAAGGAGTACACACAAACACTGCATTCAAAACCCAACGGAGCAGCAGTCATTTCTCTTTATAAGCTGGGCACATTTGGGAAGCCAGTGAAATGGAGAGAATGCTTGTTCATTGACATTGACCTTCTTGTCTGTGGCGGGGTGGGGGTGGGGGGCAAGGATCACTCACTGCTCCACCTGGATGTCCAACGGGGATGGGGCAGAAATGCAGTGGGACTTGAACTGAAGTTAACGTGTTGGGCCAGCAGGGGACGCCAGCTCCTGCCCTCCCTCTCCTGGGTGCCTGTCTCCTGCTCTGGGGGGGCGTAGGAGCTGGGTGGGGGGTGGTACTTGCTGGGGTGGAGAGGGGAGGGGAAGAGGGCCTGCTCAGCCCCTTCCAGCTCAGCCTGAGCCGAGGTGGTTCCCAGACCCCTGGGCCCCCAGTGACCCTCCTTACCTTGTCCTTAGACGCCTAGCATTTTTGTTTGGTTTTCTTAAAAAAATAACAGATTTTATGAAGGTAGAGATCAGGTGCTGAATGAGTGTCTGGCAAAAGTGGAATCTGTCCAAGCAGCTCGTGGGCTGCCAGGGCCAATCCAAGTTTGTCCCCACAGTACTGGCCTGGGGAGTACTGCCCCTGCGCTTGCCCTGGGAAGGGGTGGTGGGACGGGCACTGCTCACACCAGGGAGGCTTCCCTGTCTAGTCACAGCTCCGTGATCTCCAGGGGGCTCTCCATGATCACATCTCGAAGCTTGTGCAGGGGCGTGGATTTGGCGGACTCCGTGCGGGCATTGCGCTCGAAGGCAGTGGCCTCCGCGGCAGTGAGTGTCTCCAGCGAGCGGCCCAGGCCCTTCTGGTCATCCTCAGGCAGGCTGTTGAGGTCGGTGGCCAGCAGCGTGCCTGTGCTGCCATGCACCACGTGGATCCCGTCGGGCCCCTTGAGCTCCACAGGCGGCTGGTGGCAGAAGCGTAGGCTGCCCTGGCCCGGGCTGCGGTCTCCCGGCTCCTCGTCCAGCTCAGTCTGGATCAGCTGCAAGAGGCCGGGACCCCACATGCTCAGGGCCGTGCCCCAAGGAGCGAGCAGGTGGATGGCCCCAGAGTGCCACCCGCTACGTGCCTGTTTCCTCCCTACCTCCCGCAGGGACCCCTGGGCTCCTGCCACAGCAGGCCTGTCAGCCTGTGTCAGGGTTTCTCAAACTGCGTGCAAAGGGGAACCATGGATGTGGTCTCAGGAGCATGGGCTTCCTGTGGAATCTTTAAGTTTCTATATCCACGTTGATGCTCTATAAAAATCCTGTGATGCAGTCGTGGCATCGGGGTTTGTTTCCCAGTTGGCCTCAAGCACAGTCAACTCGAATTGTGTCCAGGTAGAAAGTGTCCACAGGACAAGTTGGAGGGGATACACAGGGTGTGGTAGAGACACGCAAATGGCACTTTGGTCCTGTGTGGGGCTACTCCACGTTATTCTATTCCTGTTGGGAATTTGGGCCTAGCTAGGAGTCAGTTTTTAGATAAAGTCTGGCCTTTGAAAGTGTTGACATAATCGTTACAGGCAGGCATATGGTGGCGGGAGGAGGGTGGGGGGCAGAGAGAGAGAGAGAGGCACACCCCCAGGGCTGGGGCACGGCACACAGCGCCCGGCCACTCGGCCGGCCGGCTACCTCGGAGATGGAGGAGTGGCAGGAGGAGGCTTTTTGCACCATCCGCTGTGCAAAGAGCTTTTTGAGCCGCAGGTAATCCTCCAGGACCACCTTCAGCAGCGAGCCCTGGGGGAGGGAGAGGGTTAACCCCCCACCGAGGCCCTCCCCTACCTGCCCGACCCCTCGCCCACTCCTTCTGGGAGTCAAGGGTGAACAGGCTTCTGATCCTAGGGCAGAGGATGGGAAGCAGAGCCTGGTGACAGTGGCCAGCCAGAACCCACGTGGGCTCACTCTTGAGGCCGGGCCTTGAGGCCACCGCAGGCTGAGCAGCTCCCTAGCAGCCCCCGCGCCCAGGCCTCTCTTTGGCTGTGGTGTTCTCACCCCAGGGGAGGGTAGGTCTAGTTGAGCCTGAGGGTGTCTACCTCCCTGTATCCTCCAGAGTGGGGTCCAGGTTCAGCCAGGGGTCTGGGTGAGGAGCCTGTGGGGAGGGCTCACCTTGATGGGCCCCTCCCGAATGATCTGGCCCAGCTTGGCGATGTTGTCATACTCCTGGATGGCTGCCCGCAGGTATCGGTCATCCTCAGGCTTCACCGCTGCTGGTTCACGGCCAAAAGTTCCCTGGGGAGAGGGAACGTTAGCTGGAGCAGAGGTATACACCACACACAGACAGGTTAGGGGACCCTGCCCCCGAAGAGCCCGGCTCCTTGGCCAGAGGCAGCAGAGACCCATCCCCTCCACCCCGATCCCTCACCATCGCCTGTACACGCCGCCCCTGCCCCCGCTCTGGCCTGAGCTCACGTGGGTGCGGGTGGGGCTGTTCCACAGGTCGGCGATCTCGCTCAGGTTCTCTGGCAGGTCGTCCTCGTGCTCGGCCTGGGCGGCCAGCTCCAGGTTGCGACAGAAGGGATCCAGCCACACAGGGTTGGCTCTGCCATTGGGGAGCGGAATGGGGTGGGGCAAGGAGGGAGGCTCGAGTAGCGGATGTCCTCCCAGCCTCAGCCCTCACCCCTGTCCGTTTCCCTGGCCTCCTGTAGTGCCTTCTAGTTCTGTAGCAGAACTGGAGGTTTGGGGCCGTGGGAAGCAGGCCCCTTGGCCATGGCACCGGTGGGTGCGTGCCCCCATCCCAGGATCCCAGTCCTCCTAGAACCAGGGCGACATGTCAGCCAGGACTACCTTTGGTGCAGAGGCCTCATCCTGTACCGGGTGCCCAAAGTCTATGTACACCCCCTGGAGCTTGGGGCTGGTCTGGGGTGGGGGTTTTGGAGGGTGGAGAGAGGGAGAGAGGGGCGATCAGCCCACCAGGGGGCGCCCACACCTCAGGTGTCAGCCAGTCTGTGCTCCCTCAGCACTTGGGAGGCTGAGGGCATCTTCCTCCCACTCTGGGTCCTGGCAGGCCTACCCACAGAGGGAACTGGACAGGGCTTGAGGACCCCACTTACCCATCAAAGGAGTACTTGTTGGTGTTAGGCATGTCCATGATGTCAATGAAGCCACGGTTCCCTGCAGGGAGAAAGGTCACAGTGTGGAGGGAAGGGGCTCAGGCAGCCTTATGAGGGCCTCAGGTCTCCCCTCCCCTCTCCCCAAGGCCCTCATTCACCTGCTGAGCCAGCCACGATGGCTTTGAGCTTCCTCTTGTGTCTGGAGAGAAGCAGAGAGAGGCGCTGGTGAGGGAGATGGCTGAGCCTGCATCTCAGGGCTGGTGGCCCTGCCTGCCTCTTGGCTGTCTGGGAGCAGGCGATCAGCCTCCAGCTGGGGGCGGGGCTCAGGGGGACACTCACACGGTCCTGTAGTACCAGTTCATGAGGACAAAGAGCATGGCGGCCAGGAAGAGGAGGATGGCCAGGACAATGATCGCCATCTGCGGGAGAGCAGGGCCAGGCATGACCCTGGGGAGACGGGGGCGGCTGGAGGGTAGGGAGGGCCGTGAGGCGGGGCTCCACAGTACCTGCAGGGCGGACATGTCATCGGGCAGCCGGACAGAGATAGCGGGCTGCACGTCCAGCACATTGTAGTTCCGGAAAAGATTCCGCAGCTGTTCCTTGTTCTCGTCAATCATCTGGATCACCCTGGGCGAGGGGCAGAGGCCTCAGCTCCCATCCTCCGCCATCCCCCAGGAGCCGCTCCCGGGACAGTCTGCTCTGCTCCTACCTCCAGCCCAAAGTTCACCACCCCAGGCTGCGCAAGATGAAAGCCCACCGGCCTAGGACCGCCGTGTGTCTTAGAGGGCTCGTACCTCCATACAGGATCCTGGGGGATACTCCCGTTTACGGGTGGGGAGAGTAAGGCTCAGAGGGACAGAGCTCTGCTCACACCCCCAAACTCTGCTCTCCCCACTAGCCCTGGGAGAGAGCCCCGCACAGCGGGCTGGATGCTGCTGTCTGTGCCTCCTTTGGTGGGACCCTCCCCAACTCCAGGGCAAGGAGGCAGATAGACAGTCCCACGGTCCAAGAAAAGGTCTCCACTCACCGGTCCACATCCAGGATGCGGTTGGTATCACGGTTCACCACGTGGATGAGCAGTTCCGTCTGCGCGAAGTTCACCCGCCCCTTCTTGTCCACGTGGAACTAGGCGGGAAGGGGCATTGTGGGGTGTGGCCACCAAAGCATGGGCAAGGGCAAGGGGGGATGGGCAGGCCTCTTCCGGGAGGCCCTCCTGCCCTACCCTGCTATAATAGACACGTCACTACTGAATGCTCGCTGAGGACCAAGCACAGTGCTCATCACTTCACCCACACTGGGCCGGGTATTATGTATTAGCCCCATTTTACAGATGAGGAAACTGAGGTTTAGAGACCTGGGAGAACCGTCTCAAAGCCGCACTTACAGGAGATGACCAAGGGAGGTATATACCCCCTTTCATGCCCTTGAACTTTCCATAAAGCCCTGTCCTTCCTTGTGGCCTGGCCCCCCTCTTCTCCCTCCACTGCCAGGGTGGGTCTCGTGGGGCACCTGCACGTCGTCAGTGTTGACAATGGCACCAGTGATGTTGGAGAGCAGGTGGATGAACTCTTC